ATATATATATATATATATAAACTTTTACATATACACACACTACACATATATACACCACAGAAATAAATATCAAACTATTACTTTAAAAGTGAACCAAAGGAACGTTTAGTAAGAGAAAGACTTCTATAATTTTTGTATATTGAAAAAAACAGTCAATGTAGTTTGTGAGTAAAAGGGTTACTTAGATTGATACTGTTAAATCCTTTAGCTTCCAAAAGGTTTTTGATAACCAGGATGGCAGAAACCTTTCTGTAACTGTTACTGGCACCTTTTACCTTAGAGCCTGTACTTATAACTATTATATTCAAGATGATATTAATACAGGCACTGAAGGCTTAAGTCTAAGAGACTACCAACGTGTGTCACTTAAAATATTCAGCTATTTTTAAAACATACTCGTTGCTCTTTAAAGTATGTTTTTAGGTGTTGCCCCAATATATTTATCCTTTATCAGATCTCAATACCTAAAAAAGAAAAATGAAATTAACATCTGTCTTTGGTTGAACAGCTCAGCTCAGAGGAGGTCCGGCCTGCACCAGGTACTAACGGAATGTCTGCTCATGCAGGGAGGCTCTGCAGCAAACAGCCGGGAGGCCTGCAATTCTCCTCTTCTCAGTTCTGAAATGAATCTTCCAGGCCACAGGAGGGGAGATGTCTTTTTCTCCTGTGCCACAATATTGTAAAAATGGGCTTGAACACACCTTGGGCTGTTTGATGGTGACAGGATGGCCATCACACTCAATAAAATAACAGTAGCCAAAATTGTTCAATGACATCAGCAGAGTAGCAATTCCATCAGTACTAGTCTTACTCCGACACTTACTATTACGCCACGGTCAAGCTCCCTAGCACATCTCGCATTCTCTAACCCTCACGGTGTGAATGATAGCCCTGATGGGAGACACTTAAAATGAACAGAACGGTCACTACTTAGCTTATCTCGTTTTTTTCAGGCGTCAAGGGAGGCGTTGTTGAAAGAACATGCATGGACACACAATATTTACACGATGGAAACAAAGTTGGAGATGGACACGCGTTTCGGTTTTCAAGAAGCAAAGCATATACTTACGAGAGAAAGATTTGGGAATTAGTGTATGAAAATCCCTAAAGCCATCGGCCCCATATGCAACTGCAACAAAGGCAAAAAGAAAGCTGGGTTGGAATACTGTCAGAGAGAGATAGTAAGAGCTCATGAGAGAGTATTATCTTTTTAAAAACCATAATAATGCTCAAAACCATTGTTCAGCTACTTTTTTTAAAAAATCGGCTACTTTTGGCTCTCATAAAGGCAAGAGACAAGTCATCACTGCACCCCAGAGCTCCCAGCTCACCCTGTTAGATCATACGGAGTGGTCTGACACAGTCCCCACTGTGTCACACACCTTAGAGGCAGTCACCAACAGCTTTCTAGAGCTAGCAGGACTGCTCAGCAGCACAGACTTGAGTCCAAGACTTCAGCCTCCCGGCAGGTCACTCCTGGGAGGCACAGAGCTCCGCAGAGGCTGTGTGTTGACTGTACTGCAAGTGTTGTCCATTCACCTTTTTCTCAGCAAGTGTTCACAGAAAATAGAAAATGTTCATGCAGAACATGGAGTGGGGAAATGCGATGTTCCCCCTGTGTGTTGACGGTATTGCAAGTGTTCCATTCACCTTTTTCTCAGCAAGTGTTCACAGAAAATAGAAAATGTTCATGCAAAACATGGAGTGGGGAAATGCGATGTTCCCCCCTACCTCAAAAAGAGCTCCTAATTGCTGTGGCAATTCTTTATCAGCTGCTTTCATAAAGGTTAGATTCCTTTACATCTTCTCAATAGCTTCTAGATCTTCCTGTAGTTCACGGGCAGAGTTCCCAGGGTGTTTCTATTTCTTTCTTTTCCTTCCTTCTTTCCTCCTTTCTTTCCTTCTTTCCTCCTCTCCTCTCCTCTCCTCTCCTCTCCTCTCCTCTCCTCTCCTCTCCTCTCCTTCCTTCCTTCCTTCCTTCCTTCCTTCCTTCCTTTCTCTTTCTTAATTATCTTATTTAACTGTATTTATTTATTTATTTATTTTTGACCAGAGAAGGACAGAATGAGAGACAGAGAGAGGGAAAGTGAGAAAGTGAGCCACCCAGTCCAGGACTCAAACCACGGTTGGCCGTGTGGGAGTCCAGCACCCTTTACCACCACGCCACCTGCTGGCCCCCACATTTCTATTTCTTAAAACTGGGTATATTCTGCATATGTGCAATACTTCACCTTCCCACACATGTAAGCACATATATACATGGCTTTCTCCCCGACAGTCACATTGCATTAGACGTAGGGCACAGCACAGCTGTTCAATTAAACTTGTGAGATGAACTACTGAATTAGCAGAGCAAAGACCCTACATGCTTGCAGAAAACAGGTCTGCTGAGCTTTGCTTATCCTGGTGTTTTCAAACTAATCTGTCTGCAGGCCCTTTTCTTTCCCCATGAGAAACTTAAACTATTGCGATAACTGATAAAGTTTGGGAGACAGGTTCAAAGCTGTTCCTTGAACTAACTGGCTTAATTATTTGCAAGCAAGTCCTTACTCTTCATCTATGTATTGTGCCCCCTGATGGTGTAAACCCCATGAATCTTATCAGAGATCTCATGACTAGGATCACCTGGAGCCAGATGTGCCCAATGGCGGGCAGAGGGCCAACCCCAATTCCACATCAGCTTTTGCTGCTCGTGTCTTCACTGAGCTCCACCCCTTTCCCTAAACTTTCCAACCTTGGTTAGTCTGTGTCATGGGGTGCTACCCCCTCAGATACTGGAAGGAAAGGCAGGGCGTTTTACAGGGGAGGTGGCGTCACTGTGAGACGTGGCATGCCGGTGATGGTGCCGATGCAGAGTTTAACTATGGCAGGACTTGGAAGCCTACTCCCTAGTATACCGCTCCAGCTGTGCCCAGCTCAGGACCTGCTGTATATATGATTGTGGGCACAGCAGGGGGCAGCCAAAGAGGAATAAAGGATCTATGAAATTAGAACTGGAAAGGCCTGATGGTGGTATGGCAGGAAAATGCCATGCCCTGCAAGGCTGACCCATCTGGAGCCTCTCTGAGTACACAGGGCACATGTGCCCATGATCAGGAGCTATCCGAGGCTGGAGGTGGGTCATGGCATCTAAACCTTGTTGGGGGTGCCGTCTCCCTCTCTCTGTCTTAGATAAAATTAATAAATTTTAAAGAATTGACTAGAATCATCTAAAAACTGTCCCACCATTCTTGAGTAGTCCAAGTGTGAGCCTTGATATAGAACATTTTCTCAGGATGCTTTCCACGCCACACACCACCATGTAACAGGGTCATCTGACAGCTCTGTATCAAACTGAGATACTCACTGCCTCTCCAGAGAGTCAGTTCTCTGCCTAGTGTTACGCCAATTACCTTGTTAACCTTGGACCTAAATATCTGATTCCCTAAAAATAACGAAATGTTTATAAAACAAGGGCCAACCTCGCAGCTTAGTGGCTCAGGGAGCTGGATCCCATATGGCCTATTGCGATTTGAATCCTGGCCTTGGCAGTTTGATAACCATGCCAGGTGTGTGTGTGTGCCCCAGATCCCACCAGGATGGAGAGATGGAGGAGAAGGTGTGACCACACTGCCCTGAGGGTTCTCCCTAGCTCTGTCCCTCTAGTCAGCACACTCACCCTCTGGCAATTATTATAAAAACAAAACAAAATGAAATGCAATTGTAGCTGTTGAGTTGTTCTAGTTGCCCATGAAAACCAGAATGGACAAGAACCCACCCTGTCCACGTGCCACTTGTGTTCATGCACAGTTTCTGAGTCCAGGGAAAGAATGCATGTTGTTCTCCGTGGGCAGACAATCGCTCACGCCAGAGCCCAGGAACCACGCTGCATTCTGAAGGCCAGCGCGGAGGCAGCCATGGCTGGGAGCTTCACGTGCCTCACACTCAAGAAGCGCTTTCTCCAAACAGCCTTTCACCCTTACCACTTCCTAGGAGGTGGCTCTATCACCATGTCACAGTGAGAAAACGAGGGCTCCATAAAAGTTCTAGAATTTACATCTTGGGAGTTCCCATGGAAATACCGGGGGTCTTCGAAACAGTTATGGAAAAAAGAGATTGAAGTGTGAGTTTTAGTGTAGAAAAGCTTTGAAATTTGTGCACTTTTTTTTTCATAACAGGCATTTTCTATGTTTTTGAAGACATCCCCCCCCCAATAGAGACCACAGCTGGTTAATACCTGCCAGTCAGGATTTAAAACTCACATTCTACCCAGGTGGCCTTCAGAAAGTAGCAGAGGCTTCTAGAAGCTACGTTTATGATGCTTAGGAGGCATGGAAGGTGTGTTCTAGTGATGGCAACTGTGTGCACGTGTACACACCTAAGTGTGTGTACACATACATGTGACCACACACATGTGTACATGGGCACAGGGGAGGAAAGTGCTGCACTCTCTAACAGATTTCCCCAAGCAGTCACTGTCATTGCCAACCTGTGGCTTGGAAGGCGGGCTGCTGTGTGGACCTCACTGGCTCACTAAGCTGTCTGCTGATATTCCCGCTTTGCTCTGGTGGGCTGACAGATGGCCACACAACCCACCTGGGAGCTCTGCAGGTTCAGATGCACCCTGCACCTGAGGACGGTGCTGCTATGAAGTCTGAGTGCCCTGGTGAGGTTGACCTGCTCACTCACCATAAAAAGTGGTAACTGGGATCAAGGATGTTAGTATTCAGTGATTAACTCACAGCTTGGTCCTCATTTCTTTAGGAAATTCTACTCTGCATATCGGGCTATTGTTTTATAATAGGGTGCACTTTTTGGGAGTAATTTTTTCCTATAGGGTGCATGTGCACACAGGAAAGAAAGATAGGAAGACAGAGAGAGAGAGAAAAAAATCACCCCTTGGGGAAGGACAACCATACCATAATCCTTTCTCCTCCATTCTTCTCTCAGGATTTGGGCACATATGCACATGTGCCCAGCATATTTTTTAAGCCAGTAGGCCAGGGACTTGAGCCATAATATCAACCACGGGGCATCTAGCTGTCTTAACTGCCACGCCATTGGCTGGCTCCAAAAGAGTATACATTTTTCAAAACTGTGTTAAATCGTTTTCTAAATTTTATGCAATACATTCTTCTTATCAAGGGCAAATTTAACTCATTTTCTAGGAATTTCTATTCCCAAACCATCATGAGCATTTTCATATAAAATGTGGTGGACATCTCGGATTTCGAATCCTTTGCGGATGGTCAAAGTGATGAACATTACGGGAAAATAAATGAAATGCTGCAAGCACACTGCGAGCTTGCGCTGAACGTGCACAGTTCCAAACCCCTGCGGCCACCTTAGGGAGAGGTGAGAACATGCCTGAGACTTTTCAAACAAGGAGGGGATCTATTCCATTTTCAAATCCAGGACATTGACAATTTTCTGGAAGAGGAGGGTTGGGAGTAGAACACACTTCGATTTGTATTTGGGAGAACTCTAAACATGCTGTAGTTTGACTTTTCTACATATCCCCCTTTAATTGTCAAAGAATGTGTGCACTCTCCATGGGGAGGTGTGATCATGCCACAATCTTCCATATCTCCATCCTGTCGGGACGCTGGGACATAAACACACGTCTGGCATATCTTCGAGTTCTGAAGTAGGATTCATGGCACGGTTGGCCATGCGTGATCTGGCTCCTTTTACATAGAGGTTAACCACTGTGCTGTGGGGCCAGCCCTTACATGTAGTCTTTAAATCATATTAATTTGTCAGTCACGGTCAGAGAATTAGTCTCCCATCTTTTTTTTTTTTTTTTGTAAGTTTATTACTTTCATAAGACTGACCCACAGACAAGGAATGGGGGAAGGAAGAGAGCAGAAGACATACACCCTCAACAGGTCTCATACTATGGTCCCCGGTCTGCCAGCCAGTTGGGATCATGGTACACGCATCCTGCAGGTATAGGTCCACCCTGGAACCAAACCTATGACCATGGCCTTGTACACGGATCCTCAGCTTGAGGAGAGTGTTACCACTGTGCTACTGAGCTGGCCTAGCTGTGCTAGTTTAGCTGTGGTTTCCTGCTGTCTTCAGAGCTAGCAGTGAGTGGACAGCACCCAGCCCTGGGACTCAGCCAGCCAGGAGTCACTGGACCAAGAT